ACCAATTTAGTAAAGTATGGAAGAGATCTTTTCTCTTGATATGCTACGTGCAATTGTTGTAGGCTGAGCAGTACTTTCATAATTGGTACTTGAAAGTAGGCATGAGGGGATGCTTAGAAATATATTTTTGTAAATTTCTATGAAGGAGCCGGGTGTGGTGGCGCATGCCTTTAATCCCAGCACTTGGGAGGCAGAGGCAGGTAGATCTTTGTGAGTTCGAGGCCAGCCTGGTCTACATAGTAAGTTCCAGGACAGCTGGGGCTACAGGGAGACTCTGTCCTCAAAAACACAAAAAAAAGAAAAAGAAAAAATTTCTATGAAGGGTGAAAGTTGTTGCTCTTAGAATTGGAAGAGATTGCCAGGTTTTGTGGCACACACCTTTAATCCCAGTACTCAGGAGGCAGAGGCAGATAGCTAGATCTCTTTCCAGGCCAACTTGGTCTGTATAACAGATGTGAGGCCATTCAGGGTTGCATAGTGAGGTCCTCTTTCAAAAAAGTGGAAGATACTGCTCAATGAGGGTTTCTAGTGTGAGTGAAAGGAAAAGTGAGTCAAGGAAACTTTTTTTTTCCTGCATGATTGTCCACATCCAGGTTTATAGAAATAATTTAGGTAAATCTTGTTTTTTAGTCAATGTAAGTTGATTTGTATATATTTTCTGATTTTAGTTTTTACTGAATTAGCTTTAATACAATTTTTACAAATATGAGTGTTTTCCTGGATTTTTAGATTGAGATTCTAATGTACTGCCAATTGACCAGTCGCCAAAAGCTATTATATCAGGCACTAAAGAATAAAATTTCCATTGAGGATTTATTGCAGTCATCTATGGGCTCTACCCAGCAAGCACAGAACACCACCAGCAGCCTCATGAATCTAGTCATGCAGTTCAGGAAGGTAAGTTCTTAGGTCAGTTGCCTTGTTCTTATCTTTATTAACCTACTTCATTGAAAAGGCTCTAGGTTTGATGCCAAATAAAGATTGCTAGAGATGAAAATGCAAAGTAAATATTCATGTAGTTTAGTAAGCATTTAAGAATTATATCTGCACATGATACTCTTCTCTCTCTCCCTTCTTAGGTATGTAACCACCCAGAGTTATTTGAACGACAAGAAACTTGGTCTCCATTTCATATTTCCCTAAAGCCATATGAAATTTCAAAGTTTATCTACCGTCATGGACAGATCAGGGTCTTCAACCATTCACGAGATAGGTGAGCACATATTAGTATGTGTTTTTACTGAGTGTTTTTATAATTTGACTCTCTCTCTCTCTCTCTCTCTCTCTCTCTCTACATATACATATACATATATTTATACTTAGTGAAGAATATGTGAGATCCCAACAATGAGATATTTAAACAAATGGTTTCTTTGTTGAGGGATATTATGATAGGAGTTGGAATGCTATTAAGGGTTCCACTAGATGGCATTAACGCCTTACTTAGCCTTTTCTGTTTATCTTTCTGAATCAGGAATGTGCACCAAAAGTCAACGTTAAGTGTACAAAAACACTGATACATAGTGACTTAGAGTCACACTTGTATAGAACTGAATATATTGCTAATCAGTTAAATTTACTTTCTTGATAGAGTCTGCAGTAATAAATTTGGTAAGGATGATGCAGTCATTAAGCTAATAAACTAGAGACTGTTTCATTCAGAAAATCAGTGTGTAGTCCAGTTTATACCTTTAGGTTAGTATAGTTCTGGCTTCCAGACTTTTTATTGTGCCATCATTTTAGAACTGTACACTTTGAAAGTTCGTTTTGTAGAAAAATAATACAAATTTAGTTAATGAAAATATATAAAAAATATAAACTAAAATTGAGATTCTTTAATGGATTTGACTTTGTTCTTTGTCTTAGTTCCAGGTTAATACTTAACTAGGTGTCCAGGGAGACACAGACCAGAGTTGAGCTTTTTCCTTAATGTAGTATTTGATAACTTAAAGTGCTAGAATTGTCATTCTGTGAAGTAAATAATTATTTTAAGTACTTTATATTTTCTGACTTTGGTGCCATTGTTTGTCTAGCAATATGGAAAGAAATTTTTAAAAAGTAGAAACAGTCTTCAACCTGAAAGATTTTTCTTAATTTGGAGTCTCCAGTTTAGTTAATTTTCCAGTGATTCACATTTATTTTATTTACTTACTTTACAGGTGGTTAAGGGTTCTTCTTTCTCCATTTGCACCAGACTATATCCAGCAGTCTCTCTTCCATAGAAAAGGTATGTGTCTTGATCTTTGGGAAGAAGGTGTGTCAGAGGCTTCCTCTTTGTTTTGCCGTGTGACTGATTTGGAGCTGGTGATTTTGCCTACATGCTAGCTAGGCTTTATTTATAATATATTGATAAGATTTTTAAGTTAGTGGCTGGGGACATGGCTTAGTGGATAAAGTATTTGCCATACTAGCACGAGAACTAGATGCCGGGTGAGATGGCAACCCTCCTGCAGTCCCAGTGCATGGGTGGCAGAGACAGGGGATTCCTATGGCAAGCTGGCTCCCTCAACTAGCCAAATCATCGAGCTCTAGGTTCATTGAGACCATCCCTCAGTAAATAAAGAAGAAGATGCCTAATGGCAACCTCTGGCCTTTGTACATACAAGTGCCCACACCCATGCAAACACCCATGCACACATACTTATACATTATTCATAGATTCATGCACACAAAAAGAAATGGAAAAAAAAAGATTTGTAAGTTATCTTCACCTACAGTTTTTGTGATTTGTTGATATAACAGGAAACAGTAAAAACAGTACATTGACTTTCCATCTTCATTTTATACCTGCCCCTTATGAATTTTTTACCCTTGAAGCCAGGTCCAGTGACTCACACCTGTCATCTCAGTATTTGGGATGCTGAAGCAGAAGGATTGCCAAGAGTTTGAGACCACCCTGGGTTGCATAGTAACTCACAGGCCAGCATGGGCTGCAGTGTGAGACTCTGTGGCAAAAAATTAAAAACGGGCTGGCCATAGAGCTTAGTTGGTAGAATACATGTCTAGCATATGCAAAACCCTGTGTTCAATATCCAGCACCAGATAAACCAGACTGGGTGGTGTACACCTATAATCCTAGCACTTGAAGTAAAGGTAGGAGGATCAGAAGTTCAAGGTCAAGTTTGGGACTAGCTTGGGCTACATGAGAACTTTGTCTCAAAACAATTTCTTAAGCCTTGAAATTTGACATTAATGCCAGCCTAGACTCTTATTTTTTTCCTCCTCCTTTCCCTCCTCCCCTTTCCATTTCTCCCATCCCATTCCCTTTCTCTCTCTCCTCCTCCTTCCTTCTTCTCCTCTTTTTACACCACTATGCTCAGCCCTAGCTAGTCTCTTTTAATGAGAATTCCTTCCTCCTTCCTTAGTCTAAGGAAAAGCTGCTGCTCTACCTTGAATTTTGTCCAGGTTATAAAGGCCAAATTTCAGAAGCTTTCTCTTCTGTCCCATCCTTCCTTTTTTCCATGTATCTTAGAAAGAGAACATAATTAACCAAGGGCCAAAACTGATAAACCGTCTCCAGTCTGGCTCATCCATGTTCTATTTGATAGACCTGCTGCCGCTAGAGACTGCTTTTGAAAGTGGGCAGTTGAGCTGGTTTAGTTGAATATTGTCTCTTGGTTTATTGTTGTGTTCAACATTGTTCTTTGATGTTCCAGGTATTAATGAAGGAAGCTGTTTTTCTTTCCTTCGTTTTATTGATGTATCTCCAGCAGAAATGGCAAACCTCATGCTTCAGGGACTTTTGGCCAGGTAAGAAATTTGCTTATTTTTGATAAGAAAGCAGTTGGGCCAGGCATGGTGGTGCATGTCTTTAATCCCAGCACTGGGGAGGTATAGGCCGATTTCTGTGAGATCAAGACCAGTCTGGTCTACATATCGAGTTCCAGAACAAGAGGGGTGGGGGGAATAAACGGGTATGGTGGTATGGTACTTGAGAGGCAGAGATAAGGGGATTAGGAGTTGGAAGCCAGTCTATGCTACATGACACCCTGTCTTAATAAAATTTGTTACTTTATAAGAGAATCTGTCTCTATTTTTAACATTTATTTATACTTTGTGTGTGGATACATGTGCCATGGCACATGTGTGGAAATCAGCGGACAGTTTGTGGGAGTCAGTTCTCTTCTTCCCTCATGTGGATTCAGGACATCAGGTTTGGAGGCAAGCACTAAGCCTTTACCCACTAAGCCATTTCACTAACCTGTAGTTGTCTTTTGATCATTTACTTACATGATGCTTCATAGTATACCTTGAAGAATATTTAGGCCTTTCTATATGCTACCAGATCACATATCCTCTAATTTCAAGTTCATTATGCTTTATGTGATTTAATAGGGTAAGTTATGACTTTTTACTTATTTAGTTTGTGATAACCACAACATAGATTGCCTGGCATATTCTGGGAAATTTAGCTGTTTTTTAAAAATTATTTTTTATTTTTATTTTATTAGTCTTAAGTGTTTTGCCTGCATGTATATATGTGCAATGCATGCAGGCATCAGAAGAGGGGATGGATCCCCTGGAACTGGAGTTAAGGAGGGTTGTGAGCCACCATGTGAGTGCTGGGAACCAAATCTGGGTTCTCTACAAGAGCAGCCAGTGCTCTTAACCACTGAGCTATCTCTTCAGCCTCTAGCTCTGCGTTCTTATTCTTTACAAAATGACTCACTGATTTTATTATGTTGTATTTATGTAATAGGGATCTCATTAGGAATGACTGTCTCCCTGATAAAGCTTTCTTTGTGTTTTTTGTTTGTTTGGTCTTTTTGAGAATAGTCTCCTTGTGGCCCCAGCTGGCCTGGAACTCATTTTGTACACTAGGCTGGCCTTGAACTCACAGAGATGGACCTGCCTCTGCCTCCCTAGTGCTAGGATTAAAGGCATGCACCACCACCATGTCTGGCTGTGTTTTTTTTTTTAAATGTGGAAAATATTTTTTAAATATTTTTAAAAATTATTGAATTTTTGTGAATTTCATATAATATAATTTGATCATATTTTAAAATATGGAACACTTCATGAATTTGTATGTCATCCTTGCTTAGGGGCTATGTTAATCTTCTCTGTATCCTTCCAATTTTAGTATACGTGCTGCTGAAGAGAACCCAATGAAGTTTTATTAGGAGGTTTTGTGATAGAGATTGATTTTCCTGTTTTTATTTGGTTTGTTACTGTAGCTTCACAGAGAATTTTACTTTCATAGTAGTACATCATGCCAAAGAATATATTCCAAAAAACTGTGAAGTGGCTTAGATGAAAGTAAGAACTGTCTCAAGATTTACACAAGACAAATGAGAGTGAGATAGGTCCTCACTGTTATGAACGCTCAAATTCCATGGAGTACTGAATAAGCATATCTGCTATGGTTTGTTTCAGATGGTTAGCTCTTTTCCTGTCTCTGAAAGCCTCCTACAGGCTCCATCAGCTGCGCTCTTGGGGAGAGCCAGACAGGGAGAACCATCAGAGATATCTGAGAAACAAGGATTTTCTTCTTGGAGTTGATTTTCCACTTTCCTTTCCCAACCTTTGCAGCTGCCCTTTGTTAAAGGTAAGCGGTTATTTGAGTATAAATTGCGTAGTTAGTACCCTGACTTACTGATTTTTTGCATCAGTAAGGATAATATTAAACAATGTCATAACAGAGCTCCAAAGTTCAGAGGGGTGTGTGTTACATACCAAGTTATGACAATAAGCACTTTGTGTGTATATTTTTGTGGTGTAAATGTTTTGTTTATAACTTTTGTTATAAGTCCATGGATCCTAAGTGTACAATTCTGTGAATTTGTATATGTGTACACTTTGTAACCATCATACAGATCAAAATACAGCATGTCAGCACCCAGAAGTCTTGGTTTGTGCTAACTCTTCTAGTTCTGAACAGACCAACAACTAAGGTGATCACAGTTCTGCTTCTATCACCATAGATCACTTTGCTTTGTTTGAACTTTATATGAAAGGAATTATCTAATATATAGTCTTTTGTGTCTGGATTCTTTAGTAAATAGTGTTTATGAAATTCATTCATACTGCATTAGCATAGTTTTTTGTTCATGATTTGTTCAAAATCTGAATAAATCAGGTTCATTAATATGTTCTGCCATTAGTGGATATTTAGGTTGGTTTGAATTTGGAGCTATAAGCTGGGTGTGGTAGTGCACATCTTTAATCCCAGCACTTGGAAGGTGGAGGCAGGTGGATCTTTGGGAGATCCAGTTCAGCCTGATCTACATAGGGAGTTCCAGGCCAGCTGGGGCTACAAGGAAACCCCATCTCAAAAAAAAAAAAGATTTGCTCTTCATTATCCTAGCCTACAGTTGATATTGACCCTTTTCATTTGAGCCATTTTAAGTGAATTTGGAATGCTATTTCATTGTCATTTTAAATTGCCTTTCCCTGAAAAAAAAAGTATTGTGCATTTTTTTGTTTATTGGGTGTTAGGGGCTTGGTTTAGTAGAGCAGTTGCCTAATGTGTAAGATGTTCTACCATTCATTTGTTGGCCATTGCAGAGTATGTGACAGAATGTAGCAGGAAATGAAGTTACAGATGTATGTCCAGGTTGTACAGAGCCTGGCAAGTATATTAAGAATTTAAGAATTTTTATTTTATTATTATTTTATTTTTAGATTAAAAAATTTTTGTTTTACGTGTTTTGCCTGCATGTATTTAAGTGCACCCATGTTGTTCAGTGACTGGAGGCCAGAAGAGGGCATTGATCCCCTGGAACTGTAGTTATAGACCGTTAATAACTGCCGTGTCGGTGCTGGGATCTGAACTCAGGTTTTCTGCAAAAATAGCCAGTGAGTGCTCTTAACTGCTGAGCCATCTCTTCAGCCCCTGAATTTTATTAATGGAGGCTTTTTTTTTTGGTCCTTGAGATCAAACTTATGGGCCTCATATAAGCTGGGCAAATACTTTATCACTGTGCCACGTTTTTGTCTAATAAGGGGGACTTGAAAAGAGTAGTGATAGTTTGATTTACTCCAACTTTATTTTAACATTGAGAAGCTAGGATATTTTCTTGTATACTCCAGAAGGTGTTCTGGGTTGTTTTATAGTTAAATGCTGTAGAATACTAGATACTGTTTGGCTGGATCCTAGTATGGTTCCTGCACACTGAAAAGCCAATATGATTTCCTCCGTTTTTCTTACTCTGAAGTATTGCTCCATGTACTATTATGAACTTTTGAGGTAGGATCAGTATTGCAAAAGATGAAAATAATTGGGTTCCAGTCTGTTTGCAGTCGCTAGTGGTAGGGTAATTTTTTAAAGTCAAATACTCTGGATGCGTCTACTAAAATAAAGGGTATGTCTGTTGAAGGACTGTTTGGCTTCCTGTAGGCTAATTTATTCCCTTGTTCCCTAAATTTGGAAATGTATGTTACTACCATGTCCTAGTTTGTCTCTCCATTGCTGTGACAAAACACTCTGACCACTACCAACTTGAGGAGGAAAGGGTTTATTCAGCTTACATCTCTTGGGTCACAGTTCATTAGGGAGCCCAAGGTAGAAACTCAGGGCAGGAACCTGGAAGCAGGAGCTGGAGCACAGGCCATGGAGGGACACTGCTTACTGGCTTGCTCCTCTGGCCCCTGCCCAGCCTGCTTTCTTATGCAACACAGGCCCAGCTGCCCAGGGGTGGTAACAACCCCAGTAGGCTGGGCCCCTCCCACATCACTCAACAATCAAGAAGGTGCCCCATGGACATGGCCACAGGCCAGTCCAATGGAGGCAGTTCCCCAATTGAGGCTCCCTCAACCCAGGTGTGTTTAAGTTGACACTAAAACTATCCAGCCCATACCATAATAAATTTTTACTAGTTCTGTGTTTGGTATAGAAACCTAAAATTTTGTTTTATATTCAATTAATATAGACACCTACATTTTATTTAATGCTTAGGGATACATTTTACTTATGTATTCTTTTAAAAATATTTATTTATTTTTATTTTATGAGTGTTAGGTCTGTGGTAAGTGCACCTGTGTTGTACAGTTGCCTGTAGAGGACAGAAAAGGGCATCAGATCCCCTGGAACTGGAGTTACGGATGGTTGTTAGCCTCCATGTGGGTGCTGGAATTTGAACCCGGGTCTTCTGCAAGAGCAGTCAGTGCTTTTAACCGCTGAGCCATCTGTCCAGCTCTTATATGTATTCTTATCTGTTACCTAAATATACAGTTGTATGCTCAAGAACATCTCTTCAGTGAAGTCCTTATATTTAATTATAAGATAAAATAAACCCTTTCCACCCCAAGTAGGTTTTAGTCATTGTTTTATCACAGCAACAGAGAAGCAAACTATGACAGTGGGCAAGAGACATACCACAAAGATACAGCTCAAAAAGAGGTTTTTGGTTTTGTTTGTTTTGTATTTTATGTGTATGAGTGTTTTGCCTACATGAATGTAAGTGTATCACATGCAGGCAGTGTTCATGGAGAAGGCAATGTCCAGAAGAGGGCACTGGAGCCCCTGGAACCGGAGATACAGACAGTTGTTAGCCATCATGCGAATGCTGCAAACCAAACCTTGGTCCTCTGCAAGAGCAGCCAGTGCTTTTAACAGCTGAGCCATCTCTTCAGCCCCTACAGGCATCTTTTTACTCTTCATTTTGAGACAGGGCATGATGGTTTGAATGAGAATTGTCAGCTCCTATACAGTCTTAAGTATTTGACCACTTTGTCCCCACTTGGAGGCGCTGTTTTGGGAGGTTAAGGAAGTGTGGTCTTGCTGGAGGAAGTATGTCACTGCGGGGTGGGCATTGGCCTTGCCCCATTTCCAATCTGTCTCCTTGTGCCTGCTTCAAGATGTGAGCTCTCAGCTTTCTGCTCTGGCCGCCTCTGCTGTCATGCCTCCCTACCATAATGGACTCTTACTCATCTGAAACTGTAAACCCAATAAACTCTTCCTTCTGTAAGTTGCTTTGGTCACAATCCATCAATGAAGGAAGTTAGATCAGGTACTCAAGGCAGGAGCTGAAGCAGAGACCTTGAGGGAATGCTGCTTGCCAACTTACCTTGGCTTGCTCAGTGGGTACCCCTCCTATACAGCCCAGGCCCAGCTGTACAGGGATGGTATTGCCACAGTGGTCTGGGCCCCCCACATCAATTAGCAATCAAGAAAATGCCCCACAGATGTACCCATAGGCCAGTTTAATGGGGAAGTTCTTCAATTAAGGTTCCCACTTCCTAGGTGTGTCTGGTTTATGTCAAGTTTACAAAACTAACCAGCACACCCAGGGTGGTTTTTTGTTTTGTTTTGTTTTTTTTGTCTTTTTTTGAGACAGGGTCTCCTCGTAGCCCCAGCTGGAACTCACTATGTAAACCAGGCTGGTCTTGAACTCACAACGATCTGCCTGCCTCTGCCTCCCAAGTGCTGGGATCAAAGGCGTGCCCACCACACCCGGCTGAGGGTGTTTTTTTTTTTTAACTTTAAAAAAATATTTTTAAAAATTATTTAGTTAATAACCATATAATTAGAAGAAGCATTTCATTACAACAGCATTGACATA